AACATGGGGGTGCAGGTATCTTTTTCAATCAGTGTTTTTGTGTCTTTTGGGTAGATCATTTTATTATTTTATAAAATGTTGTACTGAAATCTGGGACTATAAGAAGAGTTCATCTGCAGAGTGAGTTGATCCCTAGGCAAAAACAAAACATAGCAAAATAAAAAAACCTAATTCTTTAAAATTATCAAGAGCACTAAGAGTTCACTCATTTCTCAATTTCTCTCAACCTGTTTCCTCTTATTAAGCATGGATTCTTGGTCAAGACAAAGAAAAGAACATACTTTGCAAAGTCTCTTTTCAATCAAAAGAAAAATACTTTTCATTGGATTCAAATTTGTAGTCGTTAGCACATGAGTCACATTTTAAAAATATTTTCCTTTTTAACAAGAATTTGCTGACCCTCCTCCCTGTTTCCATCAAAAGCTAATGGTAAAGATAACATTGACACAAGTTTTTAAAAGACACATGTTGAAAACTGAGACATCATTGAATTCTATCCATATTTTTTAATTGATTGTCCAGTATATGCCAGGCTATGATTATGCATTTTTGGGAGCTGAAGCAACTGGCCAAGGCCACTCAGTATTCTATGCTGGAGCCTGGACCTATTCAGTCAGGACTCCAGAAGCCAACCTCTTTCAACTACATGCATTTATTGATGTTTTCAGTTACTCTTGAAAAGACCTGTATTACAAAGGAAGTCAGCTATCCTCATATGGAAATACCCCAATGTAATTAATATCATCCATTCTTCCTCTTCAGTCCTGGTGCCAATCTGTATTTGTGAACAATTGCTTGAAAAAGGTGCACATGGTTCTGCTGGACCCGATAACCCTGAATTTGGCAGGATATCTTTACAATAGCCTGTTGTTAATTTGTACACAAAAAAAGCAACCTGCTATTTCTAAGTAGGATGTGCACAGCAACCAAGTTAGCTGAAAATACAGAATTTTTTTTTGCTATTTTTATTAGCTTTTACTACTTGAAATTTTATTCTTATTTATTCTTGTTATCTAACCACCACTCAGTTTATGATTAGTTTATGATCAATTTATGACCTCCTTAACATTGGCTGGACAGAAAATGAAGAGATTGCTCCCAGGACATGGTAGTTGAGAGATAAGTCTAGAATCAGACTGATGGAGCTTCACTCACAAAAGTCACATATCACAAGACTTATATGGACAAGTTACATTAATTCCTGATGCCTAAATGATCACTTCTATAGAATTAAGATGATAATAATAATACCTACTTATTTCTTAGGATAATATGAGAATTAAATGAATTAATACTTGTGCCTATCAAGTAAATACTTAATATGCCAGTGACTATTAGTATTATGGTCTAGCATGTTACTATCTAGGTGATACTCTCTGAATAAATCATACTTTTGGAATTTATTTTTTTTAAGATGTATTTATTTGTGCATACAGAACTGGAGTGCAGGCCAGAGGTGCAGGAGTATTGAGGATTCACTAGAGGCAGAGCAAGGAGCAGAACAGACAGATCGACAAAGTATACTGCTGAGGGGAGCAGTGGGCAGGTCAGGAGAGGTCTGACACGCCATGTGGGTCACCTCCCTGGCTAGGGATGGAACTCAGAAATGAAGCGGCTGTAGCGAGTTTCATGGTGCTACACTTAAACCCACTGCACAACCAGGGAGGGCCCTGGGATATTTTTAAGTACCTATATACGCAAAACTGTCAAACTTCTATTCATCCTTTTACCGAGGGGCTCCTCCTCTGTCAATCTTCCTGAGTTCCTCTGGTAGAATTTATTGCCCACTTGACTATAATGTATTGCATTTCTGTATTATATTTCTTTGTTGCATGTACAGGTGGTTACTGTCTTCCAAAAAAGCAGAGCTAAACTTAATGAATTCTGAATCTTATGAATCCTGCCCTACTCCATCTGATACTAATTAACTTTCAGCAAATGCTGATTTAATAACTGCAAGTAAATAGAAGCTGCAAAGAGTAGAGTTCACTTTGTTCAAATGACAATTATACAAAAAGCATAAATTTAAGTCTGCGTGTCCCATCAATTATGTAAAAAATAAACTCCAGGAGTGGGGTGTTTTAAACTTGTTTGCAGAAGGGATATGTCTTATTCTCATAATTTTATGTTCAATAATATCCTTCAGAAATTGAGAAATCTCATGGGAATTATATCTTGTTAGTGTCTTTGCTTTTGATTTTGCTTTTTGCTGCAATTAGAGAACCAAATCAATCTGCTGGAAGGTCACAAGATTTTGGCACATGCCCTGCCAGGTTTTAGGATGAGGGTTTAGAGTTGAGATGGCAACCATTTCTACAGTGTAATGGAGATTTGTCCCATTAAGAATCCAGAAATGGATGCTGGGGTGATAGGGCAAGAGACATAAACTCCTTAAACATGAGTCTTCCCAAATTTAACTGAGACATCAGCCATACTGATGGCAAATGGATTTTGTATATTTTTTAAGTTTCTAAAATTTGAGTTCAAGTTGTATTTTCTGAGCTAATTAAGGCCACAATAGATTCTGAATTATAAAGTTGAATTATGTTGAGAAAGGGGATTTAACAGACGTCTGTGGCAGTAACTCCTCAATGATTTGAACCTTGTATGAAAGAAAACTTGAATAAAAATCCTGAAAAACACTACATGGCTTAATACTTAAATGATGGCGACACCTTGTTTTCTAAGAAAGAATTTCAAGGAATTTTCTCTTTCTAGCTACAAAAGACCATAACAATAAAAGATATGAAATATTATAGAAATAACATATGAAATATTATATAAACATAATGTAAATATTATAGAAAAAATGTTGATGCTAGAAAACATGTTTGAGCCTCTATAAGCAGCTCTTTTGACAAATGGGGTCCAGAAAAATGCAGTGACTTGTCTCAAGTCAGAGTTACTTTGAAAATAGCCCCAGCAATTTTTGGCATTTATGATAAATTGGATGCTGCATTTCAACCAACTTAGCTATTTGAAAAGATTCTACTTTCATCCACTTCAAGCTTCTTTGATTCAGGCCAAGGCAAAACAAGAAAGCCTAGAATAAAGTAAACCACAAGCAAAATTAGGAAATCTCAGCAAAAGCCAGAGAACTTGACAAAGTGGACTTCGACTGAAAATCAAAACATGTGCTTTGTCACAGATGGTTGATCAGCATGATAAAGTGAAGAGACTGTGGGTTTGAGAGGCAGATGGAACTTGTTTGATATCTTCGTTCTGGCTCAAATCAGCTCTATAGCCTGGACCAGGCACTTAACCCCATCTGCTACCTCATCTGCATTATAGAGGTAATATATTTGTCAGGATGTTGAAAGAATTTTACTTGTAACTACAGTTAAGGAGGATCTTGACATACTTCAGTTTTCATTTTATTAAACCTTATGAGGTGGGTAACTAACACATCTACTTCTTTAGTTGGAGAGACTGAAGTCCACAAAGGCTAAGGAAGTTTTTCTAGGTCAGAGACCAGAGATGACCAAAGATTAGAATGGAGGTCTGCTTGGCTCCAAAGCTGATAGCTTCAGCCACAACACTATCTTCGGCTTGATAAAAAGATAGCCAAGTTCCCAGCATGTTGCCTGAATAGTGGCTGGTACAATGAAGCAGCAGAATTAGCCACTTCTCTGAGCCAATTATGGTGAAGAGAGATGAATAATCCAGGGAAATGAGAGAAAGCAAATGGATGCAGGATTTGGAAAGGCTTGGGAAGACACACAGACAGACAGGCAGTAGGGTGTTTTATGGCCTGCCTGTGCTAAAGGAGGGCCACCTGATCACCTGCAGGCTTCAGGGAGACAGGGTGGTTCCAGACCGATGTGGAACCACTCAGTTCCACTACTCTTCAACTCTATCTCTAATGCTTTCTAAGTCAACACCTGCCCAATTCAGGCTTTTCCAAGGCATCTCTGACTATGTCGCAAATGTTTTAAATAAATATTTTGGTCCTAGAAGAAACTATTTTTCTACACGTGAAGAAACGTAGGTTCTTATTATCCATTATCAAGACTCCCCAAGACTGAGGTTTCCCTATGTTACATTTCTGCCCCAAATAGGAGATCAAATTTATTTGGGGTTGGTAGTAGAGATGCATGAGAATGTTGGGCTAGTTTGCATTCTTAAAAGCATGTGGCAGAACATTTCAAAAGGTCTTCTTGGTCTGCAACCTGCGCAACTCTCAGTAATTCACTGCCATTTTTTTTTTATCCTTCAAGGAGCAGACTTGATTTCTGTTCCCAGAAACTATTATTTGTAGTCAAGTCCTGGTGAAAAGGTTGATGGCTAGGTTGGACAACAGAATTTCAAATTCTCACAGTTGGAGTTAAATAAGTGTTTGCGAATGAAAGCTTGTAAAGTAAAACAAAAATTTCACCTCTGTCCTGAGTGACATTTGAGAACACTTTGGGAAGAAGTTACTCTCTGAACCAATCTCCTTTCTTTCTCCTACTTAGAATCAAATCTAATGTAGCAAGGAAGAAAAACCCATCCCTTGGAACCAAAGAAACTCATAAGCAAAAGAAAAATTTTAGAATGTTGATTAAAGTATGTCTATGAAAACAGTAGCTCATGCTTTAAAATTGTTCTGGGAATGTCTCTATTATCACCCATTGTAATTGTAGCTAACCACATACCCTTCTCCTATCCTCCATCTTTGCCCAGCTTACATCGTTCTAAAGTTAATTACTAATGTATTTGTCAAAGTCAGCTATTGTTTCTAAACTTTAAATTAATGTTTCCCATCAAAGAGCACGTTGGAGGTTCTAGATTTTAGTTTCAAACAAATGAAAGATGACTAAAATGTCTCAGGACAAATTCAAATGAGGGATTTCATAAATAAATTACAACACTTGGTTATTTATATACATCGTGAGCAAATCATACTGCCCAGTAAAAGAGGTTATGTCTTATTTCACAGAGCTGAGGCTCAGAAAATTTGAGTAATTATTTTAAATTACAACCTGTGAGTGGTCAAGCTAGAACTCAAAACCAGTCTAGCATCTGCCTCCTTCCAACTCACTGTAATGTGTCCCTTACATTTTTACTGCAGAGCTTGATGTACATGGTCAAGAGAATTGAATCTATACAGCCAAAGCAAAGCCATATTAGTCCACGCTCCTGAAGAATGACTGAAGTGTAGGTTTTCAGCTCTGCTCACAAGGACTGAGCAAGACATTGGCCTTTCTGGGCATCAGGGTCCTCCTTTTCCAGACAGAAAACTCAGTGACCTACTTTGCGGGATTCTGAGAAACAACCATTGTAAAGGAGACCACAAAGACAAAGCCTTTGGCTAAAAAAAAAAAAGAGGCAGCAATGAATCTGTGGAACAAGACAGCTACCATCTCTGATCCAAATCTCAAACATGGAAAACTGAAAAGTTCCAAACCTCTCATCCAAGTCTTTCCTGAAGATACTTTCCATACGTGAGATTTCTCTTTGAAATTGCTAAAATACCCAGTGTGGAAAGAAAAGCCAGGGAGTTGGTAATATCTAGAATAGCATAATAGTCACATGCATGGTAAGCCTAGTGAATATTGCTAACCCCTCGCTCTTCCTATTGCCTTTATTTAGCAGGAAGGAAATGGAAAAAATAGATTCCTAATTCATTCATCCCTTTTATAGACTGTTATAATTGGAGAGATGTTGAAATACAGGGAGAGGGAAGGGGCTTTATAAGTCCAAGTTCTAGCTCAACTATACCCTCCCTCTGAAGAAGAAAATAAGAATAAAATTAACTTGTCTCCTTCCTCAACATTTTTAAATGCCATATTTTTCAAAAAACAAAACTTACTGTTCAGGGACTCAATCAGCAACGTCCAGAGTCAAGGAGATGATCTCTCTTCAGTGGAAAACACCATATGCTCCGAGGTGGATCACTGGGCTGTTATTAATAACTGGCTTAGAGCTTTAGGAAGAAACATGAACCAGACTGTCACAGGAGGAGGCAAGTAGGGAGGAATTGACAGACACAGGTGGGATAAATTATAACAAAAATATGTTTAGCCCATATAGCAGTGAGAAGGGGTTGTTCTACACAATCAATAGATCCTTAAGTTAAATGTTCTAAGAGCTGAAGAACCAACTGACCAAAACATCCTTACCCTTTCACACTCTTGAAAAACACCATGACTCATGTAATATACAATCTTGTGCTCTTATGAGAATATCTTTTCCACGGATATCCGAATATCTTTTCAGTGTTAGACTTTGTTTGACTTCCTGTTTTTTTAATTATATAAGAAAATGATTTCAACTTAGGCAAAGAATGGCTTCAAATTCATATTGTAAAGGATTTAGTCATACTGGGTCTTTCCCACACCTATAGGAGGTATGCGTGTTATTAGCAAACTTGCTTTTGAAATTTTCTCTTAAAAATGCGCAATGGCAATTTTTTTGAAATTGGTTTCCCTGTGACTCTGTCAACCTTGCTCCCTTAAGAATCCCAAATCAATGCCTGAAAAATCACTTGATTGTGTTTCTGCTGTGGGGAGGAGACCACATCTTGAGACTACATGGCACCCAACAGGGGATTTCAGGTTCAAAGAATGGAGGTGTAATCATTACTTGGCTACTAGTTTGCAGTGGTTCTCTTCTTTTAAAAAGCTGTATTTCAGGCCTCCCTGGTGGTGCAAGGGGTTAAGTCTCAGTGCTATCAAGCTATCACCAGTCACTGAACCTGGGTTTGATCCCTGGCCAGGAGGCTGACCCACATGGCACAGCAGACCTTACCTCTCTTGCCTGCTGTTCCCCTCAGCAGTGTATTTCAGTAGATCTGCCTGGTCTGCTCCCCACTCCGTCTCTGGTGAATCTTTTTATGGCTCCAGCACCCCTGGCCTACACTCCAGTTCTTGTACACATAAATAAATGAAATAAATCTTAAAAAAAATAAAAAGCTGTATTTCAAAAAATTCTAAGTCTATCCTTCCCCTATCAGTTGATATCAAATTGGTCAAAACATTAACAGCCTATTTCAGAACTAAATTATATTGAACACTGGAAACTGGTGGTTAGGTAGAAATAATAGAATATAAAAATATAAACTGAAAGGAACTGATACTTGTCAAATTGCCCCATTAACATTCCAGGTGCCTACCCCCTGGCTCAAGCCTACTGACTCTTTTATTCCAGCTAAATCTTCCCAACTAACTTCTAGAGGATCCAAACACCTTTCTACAAACCTCAAACTATGGAGTGCTATTCTGTTGAGGCAACTATTAAAAAGAGAAAGTAAAAAACCAGTAGTTACCAATTCAAAAGATGGAGCATAGGGGTTAGAATGAGTACAGGACCTTTATTTTTGCTTTTCATACTCCTACCTGTTAAAAAAATCCTCTAAATATATGTATCTTTAGACAACACATTTATGTACTATTGACTACATCATAGTAATTTTTTGATATTTATTTTTTTACATTATTCTTCATTTTGTGCATTTTTTCAACCAGAGAAATTTTTAAAAGGCAAAAATGAAAAGCAGAGAGACATTCTTATAAGGTCTTAAAAATCCTCATGTGTAATTTTTACTTGTCTCTGGGACATAAACACCACTCTCAACAGATGACTAGAGAGTGGTTCAAAACCTTAGCTCCCCCACTTATTAATTATTTTGAGTTGAATTGTGTCTCTCAAAAAGAGATGCTCAAGGTCCAGCCCCATGGAAAACTGTGTGGAATATTCTCAAAACAGTAAAAATTGGATTTACTGTATGGTCCAGTGAGTCTACTCCTAAGAATCTATCCAAAGAACATGAAAACACTATTTCAAAAGGAAAGCTGTACCCCTGTGTTTATTACAGCAATACTACAATACCTAAGATATAGAAACAACCCAACTATCACAAAACAGATGAGTGAATCAAGAAGACATGGTATATATACACAATGGAATACTACTCAGCAATCAAAAAAGACAAACACATGACATTTACAGCAACATGGATAGAGGTGGAGGCGATGATGCTAAGTCAGAAGGAAAAAGTAAATATGGGATGATTTCACTTACATGTAGAATATAGAGAAAAAACTTGCAAGCTGACCACAGATCTGAGGCATACAGCAGGGGAGGGAGAAGAAGAGGAAGTGGGGTCAAAACAGGGGAAAGAGAAGAGCGCAAAGGACCATGGTAATGGATCATGTGTGCATGGTGGTGGGAGAACTACAAAGACTAAACCTGAAGGGAGAAATCAAATGTAGTTCAAAAATTAACAATGATGTAAGAAAACCAATCAATCAATGAATTTTTAAAGATAAGAATGTTGGGAGTGACCAAGTGCAGAGATTTACTGAGGGACTGGATAAGGACAGTAATAAATTAGGCCTTGCATCCAAGGGTGACAAGGCAGTAATAAAGTGGGCCTTATATCCAATTAGCAGGGCCTTGAGTCCAGGATGGGACTAGATGAAGGTGATAACGAACTGGGCCTTGCATCAAAGGACATAGCGATGAGTCACCCTTTTGGAATTTGAGTTTAGAATCTATAGAGACCCTTCACCCCTACAGAGTTGGCAGTAGCTGCGGACCCCACTCTAGGGGCTCCATCTCAACTGCTGTCTGGGAGCAATAAACTCTGCTTGCTCAGCCTTTCTGCCTCCCGCCTTCCTTTCTTTCAGCCAGTCACAGAAGTTGGGACAAAACAAAGAATAAAAAAAAAGAACAGATTTTTCAAGTCTTACTCCTGGTACCTGTGAATGTTGTATTGCTGCTGTAATTAAATTAAATTTGATCAGACTGGATTAGGACTAGCCTTAATCCAGGGACTAGTGTTAGCAATGTGACATTAGTCATGTTATTTACTCTCCTTGTGCCTCAGTTTCTTAATTTGCAAAATGCAAGTAAAATCTCCACCCATCTACTTAAAAGTATTTGGAAGAAAATGTGACATCAGGTAACTTCAGAGTGATGCCAGCAACATACCCACAACAGCTCACACTTAACTGAATCTTGCTGAGTGTAGATGGGAGGAGCTCACAACTCTGAAATTTGCTGTGCAAAAGAAGGCTGGAGGAGGGAGGAAGCACAATTGTAGGGTGGTGACAATGTTGAACTGTTACAGAGCAGGGAGAGAGGGGCACAGTGAACCCCCAAACCTGCCTGCTCTAAATAGGTTCTGCCATCTGCCGCATTAAGACAAATCATGTAAGTCTTTAATTAAAATGAACTTTAATACAGTGAGTATACAACACGGAAGACAAAAAATTCTAAATCAAACATCTGAAGTTACCCATCCCCTTGTGGGCAAAAGTCAACCCAAAAGGGATTGGTCCAAAGCAAGGCCTGAAAGCCTGTCACAAGATTAAAGCACCTTCTGACCCATAGAAAAGGGTCAGAAATGGCCAGACAAGTCTGGGAGGAAAAGAGCAAAATCAAAATCAATATAAACATTGCCATAGTCAACCTCCTCACAGGTCTTTCACCCACATTGCTTTCAGCCAATGAAATAAGCACAGTTTCTTCATCACATGCTTGCTGCTTCATGTGGCTTCCTCAGGTCTCCTTCTGGCTCTCCATCCTCCTTTCTTCTTCCTCAGATTCCTCTTCTCTCCTTTTCTCTGCTCAGCCCCACCCTCCTTCTGGGTAGGGCAGGGAACCTAGAACTTCCCCTTTTCCTGGGGACTACCCTGTTACAAAACTTCACCTGAGTTCTGTGCTAGAATGCTGGAAAGCAACCCATGCAGCCATGCCATCCACTCCCCCTCCCCGACCTTGTGTTCCAGGAAAAGACTTATTGCAAAGACCCGCCTTTCGGAAGGGACTTAGATAAGACTGGTGGAGAACTCCCTTGTTTATCTAGGATAAGACCACAGACTCTCTCCTTTGTCTCTTAAGTGAATACTAGTTGAGGCATTTGTCTCCACGGACCAATCTGGACAAGCTACCCACTAATACGCCCTGACCAAACTTTACTCGGACATTTCCCTTCCTGACAGGCCCCTGAACTTTTACCCACCTTCAACTTGAGCCAGTATTGAACTACAGAACAGCCCTTATTTAATGACTTCTCCAAAAAATAATCTGACCACAAGTGTCCCTGATCAATTGTCCAATCACACACAGGCTAACCTCACTCCTGACTTTCTGTTCTTGCCAGCGCTGTCTAATCTTCTTTATAGAAGAAAGCTCTTTTGGCCTGATCTCTAAAATGAACACAGATCTTGCAGTTTGTGGTCATTGTTTCACAATAGGCACAATCCCAATTTTTTGTCTGTTCTCTTTTGCAATGATTTTTTAAATTGTGGTTTAAAAAATGCATCATAAAAAGTATCCTCTTAACCATTTGAAGTGTGCTCTTTAGTAGCATTAAGTATATTTACATGGTTATGCAACAGATCTCTAAAACTTTTTCATCTGCAGAGCTGAAACTCCATATCCATTAAACAGTAACTCCCCACTTTTTGCTGGGGTGGTGGTGGTGGTACTGGTGCTGGTGGTGGGAAAGGTCAGGGTAAAATGCCCCAAGACACCACTCCCCTTTTCCTTCCCAGTCCCTAGCAACTATGTACAATTGTGTTTCAAATGAATTCTCTCCCTCCATAAATCTAAACTTGTTTACCTTTAACAGTTTCCTGGGGCTGTCTCTCCTTGGAGAGATCCACCCACCCTTGGACCTGCTCTCTGCCTCTAGAGATTCATGCTGGCTTCTCTGACCTTCTGTGTCCTGGGGATATGAGACCCACTATGAGTCAGGACTCCTAATCCAGTGGTCTGGACACTTGTCTGTCCAGAGCAAGGTTAGGACTTACTTTGCTTCTTTCACGCAGAGATTTTTGTCTGGTTTTTCTGCAAAACCGCTTCTGTTTTTCTTTGGGAAATTTTACTGTGAGGGAAATTTTATGAAGAAGTTCCCTCAGTTGATT